GACTCATCGTCAAAACTCCAGCTCGAGAACTGGCGGCTGCTTCCAAAGCCAATCCTCTAGGCTACATATGTGTGGCCTTGTAGTTCCATTGCTTTGCTTGTTCCCTTGTACTTTCTAACCATATTGTAGATCTTTGGACCGCATATTTCATCGTTGTATCCACTTTCGATCACTGTTGTGATAGGAGTCCCACGAGATAACTTTCTCTATATTAATACAAAAAATGCTTTCCTTGTACTATTCTTTGTGACTCATTTAGATCCAGTGTAGTCTCTTTTATGACTCTTTATATTTTTTACTATTTCTTTATGTTGGCTTAAGGCATGCATACGTTGGACCAAACCCGGGATTTGGCACAACCAACTGATTTGTTTACAAAAAAAACCCTCTTAATGCTATATAGAGTGGGGACTCTTAATCATCCAATGTTGTTCTGGGATATCTCGACCATGTCGCAATATTCCAGAGATGATATCATGTTTCGTGTGTCCAACAACCCATGTGCGTTTGAAAAGGTCACACAAGAGGCTGGCCCAAAGCATGGGAGGGTCCCTGCCCTTTAGACCCAAGGACCATGTTGGTTGAGGTCATGTCACTACTGCCAAGAATCGTGAATCATCTTGGTTATACGTGGGTATGGGTCCACTTGACCGGTCATGCTCCTGAAAAGCAACAAGGATTGCTTCCCTGAATAACACCCTCGCACTCCTAGAGTTGTCGCCTTATAGAACTCAGACCTGCCATGTAAGTCTTGTAACCTTTTCTCTTTTCCATGGAAGTCTTTTATCTCTTCTTCATGAGCCTTCTAGTTTTGGTTAAGCATTAAGTTTTCTCCCTTCCTTTGTAGCACTAATTTTTTGGGTCGGATTTTGGATCCTTAATACATGATGTCATGAATCTCTTGCATCAAACTTGTGTGTCATGGAATTATCGGAGAACTGATGTACTCATATTTTCGCATTCTTAGCATGCATTTTTATTAGACATTAGACTTGAGTTTTGCATCTTTTCCTTTATTTTAGGTTCCATATAATTTAGATTGAGTCTTAGAGTTCTACTTCCCATTTCTTACTTTTGCATTTCATTGGAAGCTAAGATCAAGGACGAACCAAATGAAATGAAGATCAACCAAGAAGAGAAGATAAAAAACCAAGAAAGCTAAGGGAGATGCTTGAACCGACCGAGGCACTCAAACCAGTCTGTGCAGTCAGTGGGTCTGCACCTAAGCAGCAGCATCAGACAAGTGCTGGACCGACAACTCTCCCCTTTCAGTCGGTTCGGTCACTCTGTCCGCGTCCATATAACAACAAAGGAAGATGTCCAGACCAACCCACCCTCTCAAACCGGACGGTGCAACTGGCTGGACCGAGAGACTTTCAAACACAAATCCGGGTTTGACCCGGGAACACTTATCTTTTCCTATAAATAATTTTCGCCATATTAAAATCCTAAGCTTTATCCTATGTCTTTTATCCTTTGTGTAAACCAAGAAATCTTTGTGTTCTTGAATAATTTTGAGGATAAAGTCTTCATCTTTTATGCTTATTTTGTAATGTTTCTTAATCTTTTTCTTTTTAGTCTTATCATTATGTCTTCTTTTATTTTTGCTTTAATTGTTCCT